TTAATTTAATACAGTTTTACACAGGAGGACAAAAGGAGGTAAATTTGAACATTGCATTTATAAACAACTATTATAAAACACATCCTGACTTCAAGATATTAAAATGTAAAACATATGCCTTCAAATGGAGGAAATCCTGTAATTGTGCTCTAACTGAATTTCTCACGTCATAAAGAGTGGACTCTTGCCTGCATTGTCGGTAGACAAACATTCCTCAGCACAAGTGACACTGACTCAAAGCATCCTACTTTTCCTATACTGCTTTTTCTGAGGCCACTGATCAACCCTAAATATTTGTCTGTTGTGTTTTCCTTGATTTCTCTATTTCCTTATATTAAACTCTTCCTCTCAAAATTCTTCGCTAGTTGATGTATGTAACCTTCTATAGGAATTGACCTATAAGGCTCCTTTTCTTCTTTAGTGGCTCCCATTTATCTTGCCCTCAATGTGGGCACCCCACAAGGCTCAGTCCCCTTCATTTCTCAGTTGCCACTAGTGGTTCTCAGCCCTGGTGACACATCACAATCATTGGTAGAGCTCTTTTAAAATGTCCAAACCCAAGCTGAATGCGGTGGCTCACACCTGTAATCCCAGCACTTTGGGGTGCTGAAGCGGATGGATCACCTGAGTTCAGAGTTCGAGATCAGCCTGGCAAATATGGCAAAACCCCACCTCTACTAAAAATACAAAAATTAGCTGGGCTTGATGGTGCATGACTGTAGTCCCAGCTACTTGGGAGGTTGAGGCAGGAGAATGGCTTAAACCTGGGAGGCAGAGGTTGTAGTGAGCAGAGATCACACCATTGCACTCCAGCCTGGGCAACAGAGGCAGACTCTGTCTCAAGAAAGATAAATAAAATGTCCAGATCCAGATCCCAACCCAGACCAACAGGATCCGTCATCCTGGACTGAAACGTGAGCTCTGTGACCCTGGTCATGTGACATAATCTCTGACATCAATTTCTTCAGCTGTAAAATTAATGTTAAATCTGCTTCCTCAGATTGCTGTACACATATGCTTTACTTCCCATCATTATAGTTAATATCGTCTCCTCTTTTCTCCCTTTACTTAAAGCCCACCTTTCTTTAAAAGCTCCACTGAACCTTTACCCTGGCCCCAGCTCTCCATAATCACATTTGTTTTGGCTTGTTTGCAAAGCCCACTGAAAACTCAAGATGGGCCTGTAAAAATGAAATTGTCTCCTGGCTGTTCCTTCCTTTCCTTCCCTTTCTTCTTTCCTTCTTTCTGTTTGTTCTTGAGATGAGAGTCTCACTCTGTTGCCCAGGCTGGAGTGTAGTGGCATGATCTCAGCTCACAACAACCTCTGCCTCCTGGGTTCAAGTGATCCTCCTGCCTCAGCCTCCCCAGTAGCTGGGAGTACAGGTGTGCACCACCACATCCAACTAATTTTTGTATTTTTAGTAGAGATGGGGTTTCACCATGTTGGCCAGGATGCTCTTGAACTCCTGACCTCATGTGATCTGCCCACCTCGGTCTCCCAATGTGCTGGGATCACAGGCGTGAGCCACTGCACCCAGCCCTGATCTTTATACAGCTGTTCTTGTCACCTTCCAATCCATTCTGCATGTAGCATTCCAACATTCCAGAATGATCTTAACGAAACAATTAGGATCATGTTGCTTTCTATTTTAAATCTTCTAATGAATTTTCTTTGTTCTGATGTTTATTAAAATCCAGATTCTCTAGCCTGGGTCACAAGCATCTACAAAATCTGATTCTCATCTCACTACTCTCCCGTTGCTTTCTATACCGTCTGGCAGCACAGGTTGTAATTTGATGTACTCTTTCCCACCTCAGGGCCTGGCTCATGCTGTTCTCTGCCAGGAATGATCTTATATTCACCTACCTTTTCTTTTTCTATTTTTTTTTTTTTGAGACACAGTTTCTTTGTCACCCAGGCTGGAGTACAGTGGCACAATCTCATTTCACTGCAACCTCCGCCTCCCGGGTTTAAGCGATTCTCCTGCCTCAGCCTCCTGAATAGCTGGGATTGCAGATGCCTACCACCACAAGTGGCTAATTTTTGTATTATTAGTACAGACAGGGTTTCGCCATGTTGTCAGGCTGATCTTGAACTCCTGACCTCAAGTGATCACCTGCCTTGGCCGCCCTCCCAAAGTTCTGGGATCACAGGCAGGAGCCACCACACCCAGCCTCACCTTTTTTTTCAACATCAGTTTAATCACTTCCCTCAGCAAACACTTATCTGACCCTCACCAGGTGGGTGCCCTGCAAAAACCTCCTTTACCTCCTGTATTCTTTATAATCAACTATTTTATCAGAAACTGGATGGATTTGGGTCTGATATTAACTTTTTCTCAATATAGCTCTATATTTTTGATTTATTACCAAAAGCATGATTTATATTTGTAATTTAAAAAGAATTTGCTTTTAAGTTTGAGAAACAGTATGGTTTGGGTTTTGTTATTTATTTTTTATTTTTGGAGAAGGGGCTCTGTCGCCCAGGCTGGAGTGTACTGGCATGACAAGGCTCACCGCAGCCTCGACCTCCCGGGCTCAAATATTCCTCCCACCTCACCCCAGCCTCATGAGTAGCTGGGACCACAGGTGTGCACCACCACTCCTGGTTAATTTTTAAAATTTTTTCTTGTAGAGATCAGGACTCTATGTTGCCCAAGTGGGTCTTAAGCTCCTGGGCTCAAGCCATCCTCCCACTCAGCCTCCTGAATAGGTGGGACACGCACAACCACCATGTCAAGTTTCTATTATTTGTAGAGTCAAGGTTTCACCATGTTGCAAAGGCTAGACTCAAACTCCTGGCCTCGAGCGATCATCCTGTCTTGCTGAGCCTCCCAGCAGATTATGGGTGTGAGCCACTGTGTCCAGCCAATACATTTTTTTTTTTAGACGGAATCTTGTTCTGTCATCCAGGCTGGAATGTAGTGGCACAATCTCAGCTCACTGCAACCTCTACCTCTTGAGTTCAAGTGATTCTCCTGCCTCAGCCTCCCAAGTAGATGGGACTACAGGCATATGCCACCATGCCCGACTAATTTTTTGAATTTTTAGTAGAGATGGGTTTTGCTGTACTAGCCAGGATGGTCGTGATCTCCTGATCTCATGATCTGCCTGCCTCTGCCTCCTAAAGTGCTGGGATTACAGGCATGAGCCACTGCGCCTGGCTGCTAATACATTATTTTTAAAAAGCCATATAGTTGCTTTAATGTCTATCTCCTCCCCTAGAATACAGGTTCCAAGAAGGGCATATACTGAGGCTGGCTGGCTCACGATGATGGCCACAGAATCTAACAGTGCTTTGAACCCAGAAGATGCTGAACATATTGAGTGAATGCTGTTGACTGAAAATGCAGAACATAAAAATTGATTGGGAGGCTAAGCACTAACCTTGCCCAGGAGAAAGATGGCTCTCAGGCCACCTTACAGGCTGCAAAGGGGTGGGGCGCACCTGAACCTGTCTGAGTCAGGGCCCTATTCAAGAGTATCCTGCTATCAAGGGCTTTGAAATAGGCTAGGTGCTTATAGTCTCAAGAAGGAAGCAGTATTCAGGTTATTGGTGTCTGACTAGTTAGAAATAGGACTCAAGCCAGGAGTTATAGAGGAGTCCAGGGGGTTGTCAATACATTAAATTTAAAAAAATTCTAGCTATAATTTTCTAGTTATTTATTATTAATTTGGCTCTCCGTATTTGCAAAGTAATTTTTTTCACATATATGCCCAATTTCCTAGTTGAATCTGCAATCTCCTAAATACAAGGTCTCTTTCATAACCATTCTACATCCTCATGACTCAGTTCAACCCATAGCATATTCCCTAGAAATGAATATAGTCAACATTCTTTCATTCAGAGAACATGCTCAGAGCTTCGGTGTTTCTCAGATACCTTCCAAAAAGTTTTTAATGTTTAAATAAATGCAACACATTTTCATGTTTTTATCATCAATGCTTCTTGAAGTTTCATTGATTTTCAATGGTCTTTAATATTTTTCTTTGCTTGGAAATACTTCACAGGGTATTTGCAGTGTATGCGTGCAGTGCTTTCTAAACAAATGAAATAGAATATTTTAGTGAGAATATGTGTTACTCATGCAATAAAGTATACCTGTTTCTTTGTGGCTTTAAATATGGTACATGCTTAATAAGTTATAGGAATTGCCCACTAAGGTCTTTTTCTGAAATGACTAACAGACTTTGACATGGAGTTTGAAGTCTTTTCTCTATTTGATGCAGTTTATGTTGGTATAGTAAAGCCACCTCAGGGCTAATAAAATCCAGTGATTTTGCACATGCTAAAAGCTGAATCATTCAACAATTAAAAGTGAAGTAAAATAGGCCATAGAAATCCTTACCTTCAAAAACCTATGATAACAAAGATAATATGCAATCTGCAGTCTTATAAGAGCAATGCTGATTGATCTTTTCCCTCTTAGGACTCGGAATCATACATTATAGCTAGATAACAGGCCAGCTTTTGCTTGTTTCCTGTAATTTAACATGCCTGGAGCTACCCATGTTTCATTTAGGTCAGAAGCTGCCATAAGATAATATGAATTGAAGCCATTATGTGACTTTAGTAAGATTATGCTTATCAACCAAGATGACCCATTATGATGGTTTCCAGGCCAGCAGCATGAAATGAGTTTTTTTTAATATGAAAAAAATTAATATTATTGTTTCTTCTACAGAGATAATTATTTATAAAGTTAAAGCTAATCTACTAACCCTGTTGCCATTCTTAATAGCTTCAGGCTTGTTTCTTGTTCTTTACTATATTCTAAGTTTCTTATTCTAACTATGCTTGCTTTACTCCTTTTCTGCCCTTAATATTTAGCAGATAGTGAAGATTTACTGTGTTTATTAGAAATAAAAATTCACAAATTTAAAAAAACTATATGAAATAAAAAGAAAGTGATAATATACTTAAAAGTGTTTAAAAAATGAATCCTGTTACCAAATTAGGAAAAAACATACTAATAAAAAATATATTCATATTTGCTTACCATGGGTTTTGATATCTGTGGGTTATTGCATCAAGGGAAGCTTGACTTAGTTCTGCATACTGTAAAAGGAAGAAAATTAATGTACCCTAATTCCAAAGTAAATAGGCAATATGTCTAAGTATCCATATTTCTAGACAAAAAGGGAGTCAGGTTGGAAAATGAAATAGGAAATTCTAAATTCAACTAAAAAAAGATTAGGAAAGAACATAGTCTTTTGATTCCTGAACAGAGAGAAAAAAGTACAAGAAGTAAAATAACGAGACCTTATGTGCTTTACTTTCCCTCTTTGAAATGAGGGGTGTTAGGTACGTAGCGAGCAGAGTGTAAGGCATCATCACTAAGTTGCTTTCCATCTTTATGATTCTATGTCTAAATAAGTGAGCATTCTAAACGACTATTGTCATTTAGACTCAAACAGGTTAGCTCTTTTCACTTTACTTTCTCATTATAGAATCAGAAAATGTGGTCGCAAAAACGTAGGAAAGAGCTGGATTACAGACAGACTATGGTAAAAGTGTGGACCTAAAAACTCCTTTCACAAGGAGTAATTCGGAGTATCGATAACGTATTTAGTGGCTTAGAGCCGGTTCCCAGATTAAAAAATAATTCCCACCCCCTCCCATGTGCATTGAAATGATCTGTTATTAATGAATGAATGGCCGCTACATACTGACTCCTCTTCTCCCGGAACTATCCAATGAATAGCACGTCTTGTAAACAAGCATGGGGAATAAAAGTGTCAAATTTACACTGAAAAGTGTCTTGGTCTATAACCATTTCTCAAGTTTCTATACTAGGATTAAGAAATCATGACATGAATTATCAAAAAGTATTTCACTTCAGTTGTGGAATGCATTTTTTACTTATATTAATATGGGATGCAATATTCATAACATCTCAAAAAGTAGCAAAATCCTGTTATAAAAATTTCAGCATTAAAGGAATGATGTTCCTTGGTACTTTTTAAATTCTCTCCCCTCTTCTTCCTTTTCCCTCAAGCTTCAGTTTAGAATGACTTTCCTTATTGACTACCATAGAGTTTTTTTGTGCTTGGGAAGGCAAATTCATTTGTGTCATCTTCTCAGGGATAAAGACCTGAAAACTTAATCTCTTTAATGTTCACACATAAATTGAATAAACAAAGGAAGGCACAAGATAAACAAGGTCACTATTCCACAGAAACTTTGAAAATAATCTGCATATGATGGAAGGATCATAAGACATCTTTCTCAATTGATTCCTGACACAATTCCCTGAAAATTGAGCTTACATTGACTTCGAAGTAATTTTATTATCAGCTTCTGGATAAATTTTGCAGGACTTGGATGATCTTTGATTTTATGCTATTCTTATCTTTAATAACCAAAAATTACATCTTCTTAATTGGGGAAGATCTTTTTCAGAGACAAAATAACACATCTTTTTTCCATTCCTCCTATAGATATCAGTGCCTAATACCATAAACAATTTGTTATCTAAAATAAGCCGGTCCTTCTCTATCTTAACAAAATGTATCACGATTTATTTAAACAGCTATGCTTATTGTAGTGTTAAACCCAATGAAACTGAGACTTAAATAAATCTTTTTTTTTACTGGCCAGTCATTTCTAAGAGTAAAGATTGATTTAAAAACCAATTCAACATCTTCATAGAAACAGGTAACCATTAGTATATTTTCTATCTTAAATCAGTGAGAACCTTTTACACTTATTTTGGATGGTTTCAACAAAAATAATTGCAACTCCAGTTCGGATATTTCCTACAGAACAATCTTCAAATAATCATGTATTAACAAAAGGGAAATATCTGCTAACTGCATTCACATACTGTGAGGTACACAAATTCTAAAATGAGTAAAAACTGTTAAATTTGAGTTAAATTAATTGCAGACATTTGGGGCTCATTCTAGTTAAAAATTAAAGTCATTGTTTAAGATTTTCACTATTAATCTCTAACCCCTAGTCTAGTCCTGACACATTTAGGAAGTCTTTTGGGGACTGTTCCTGAGGAATCCTCTTGCTTTGTTGCAACAATCCAAGATGCTTTTCTTAGTATATTCAATTTTGACATTTCTTACTAGAAAGAACAATTTTCCATCTCTCTAACTATGAGGTCTTTCTCACCCGTAGAATGAATACAATGGCAATGTAGTTCAAGAATGCAGTAGACACTAAGGGTTTTCTTCTGTAGCCTCCTCCTTGGTAACATGGAACTCTTAGTACCAAACATTTGAGTGGAAAATTCCCTACGGCTATCTTTTCTTATGCTAATGTATTTTTTTCTTCACTTGCCTCAATTTGCAAAATATTACTGTTAACCCCTTAAGGTATCTTTTTCCCACAGCCTGTGAGAAGCATTTCCATTGTTGCAGCAGGGTCACCAAATTGCATAATGTTGCCTATTCTAGACTGGAACTATTGCAGGGAGAAAGGGGACATAAAGGCCTTTGCATGAATGGAGCATTTGAAGTATTCATTTTACATTCAGAGCATGAGTAGAAACAATTCTTTCTGAAAAATGTCAGTGTTTAAGGCATGGATTCTGTGATGTACTTCTCTTGCTAAAGCAAAAAAATGTTCAATGCAGAGACCCATACATATTTCATTTTATGCCACATTATAGATGGGCTTGAGTACCAACATGAATGATATCCTGGTCTTTTACCGTAGTTTTTAAATAATTTGTATTCATCAACTTTCAGCAAATAGACTAAACATTGGATTCTGTGAGTTTCATGTGGCCCCAGTATCTCTGCTTTCTGTGGAGTATCCAAATAATGAGAAACATAGTCTCTCATGTTTCTAGTGTGCTTGTAACACTATAATTTAAAAATCCATGTAGGCAAGAAAATACAGTATACAGTGACATTAATAATACTAGATCCCATTTGTTCAGCCTCATCTCATTTGTTGAGCATGCTAAGTGCTTTACACATGTCTCAATCCATTTAATAATACTCTAAGGTATTACTGTTATCCTATGGTGGACACATTTTTTTTTTTTTTTTTTTTGAGACAGGATCTCGCTCGGTCACCCAGGCTACAGTGCAGTGGCATAATTTCAGCTCACTGCAACCTTTGCCTCCCAAGTTCAAGCAATCCTCCCACCTCAGCCTCCTCAGTAGCTGGGACCACAGGTGTACTCCACCATGCCCAGCTTGTAGAGACAGGATCTTGCCATGTTGCCCAGGCTGGTCTTGAATTTCTGAGCTCAAGGTATCCATCTGCCTCAGACTCCCAAAGTGCTGGGATTAGAGTTGTGAGTTACTGTGTCCAGCCAGTAGGCAGAATTCTAAGAGGGCACCCAAGATTCTCACCCTCTGGTAGACAGGTGTTCTCTCAGATACTCAAGTGAATACTAATCTAGGTGCTACTGTGAAGGGATTTTGTAGATGTAATTAAGGTCCCAGATCAGCTGACTTGAAGAAAGAGAGATTATTCTCAGTGGGCCTAAGCTAATCAGGAGAGCTCTTAAAAAGACCTAGGCTCTTATTGGCAAAGGAGATTTGAAGCATTAGAGGGATTTAACATGAAGGAGATTGTCCACAGCTGGCTTTAAAGATGTGGAGGGGTCATGGGGTGAGGTGCCTGGGTGGCCTCTGAATGTTGAGAATGGCCCCTAGCTGACAACTAGCAAATAAATACAACCTCAGCTCTACAACCATAAGAAATCTTCCACAACCACATGAACTTGGAAGACAGCCTCAGATGGCTTCACAGTCACAGTTAACACCTTCATCTTTGTGAGAGCTGAGTGGAGCACCCAGTTGTGCCATCCCTGGATTTCTGACCTACAGAACTGTGAGCACGTAAATGAGTATTGATTTAAGCCGCTAAATTTTTGGTAATTTGTTATGCAATAGAAAACCAACATAATCCCCATTTCATACATGGGAAAACTGAGGTATTATAAAAAATAGTATTCAGATTAGCATGCAAGGGAGAAAAGAGGGAATATAAAAAATTCTTCAACTGGCTATTTCAGCTTGAAAACCACATTCCATTTTTCACTAAGGCCATGTATTAGTCCATTTTCACCCTGCTATGAAAATACTACCTGAGATTGGGTAAACTGCAAAAAAAAAAAAAAAGAGGTTTAATTTAATTGACTCACAGTTCCACATGGCTATGGAGGCCTCAGGAAACTTATAATCATGGCAGAAAAGGAAGCAGGCATGTCTTACAAGGTGGCAGGCAAGAGAGAGCCAAGAGGGAAGCCCATTATCAAACCATCAGATCTTATGAGAACCCACCATCAGGAGAACAGCATGGGGAAAACCACCCCTACAATCCAATTACCCCCTACCAAGTCCTTTTCTTGACTGATGGAGATTATGGGAATTACAAATCTAAATTAAATTTGGATGGGGACACAAAGCCAAACCCTATCAGGCCACAAACATAGATTTGCCCTGAAAAGCGATATGAATGCTAATTCATATCTCAGAGAAAAGGCATATTTTTCAATGCTGTGGGTGGAAATAAAAAACAAAACAAAACAACAACAACAAAGATAAATTTGTTATTTTTTCCCAGTCTCCTTCCAGAGAAATAAATATTTTCCTTAATTCATGCTATAATTCAAAATACACGAAGATTTTTTTAGAAAAGAGAGACTGGAAATAATTTTCTTGGGAATTGTTATGGTTTGTGATGAATAACCAACCATTCTATTATCAGCACTTCATCCATGGCTGGTTGATGATTCCTAGCAGGGTCTGAAATCTGAGTGGACTATTCAAGCAACAGAAAGCTATTCAAGCACTTCCAAGATGCTACATGTGTTCAGCACAGTTTCTGAAATATTATCAAGGGCCTACTTTGCAACTGTAATGTGTTTGACACTGCTGTTAATTCTAAGGTTAGAAAGTGTACTCTCCCAAGTTAATTGTCTAATCAGCTCTACAACTACAGGTTGTAGAACAAGCATTGTGAACATGGGATTTGATATAAGGGAGACTGTGCCCAGTTTCCTTCAGTTTCTGTTTAAATAAAAGGTAAATAGTTTTGAACGATTTTATTGAATAAACTGGGAGATTAATTGCTAACACACTTAAAAA